ATATATATATATATATATATATATATATATATATATATATATATATATATATATATATATATACACATCTTGAATGACACAAAATGTATCAAAATTAAAACATGAAACTTCAGTTAAAATACGAAAAATGGAAGAATAATAATACATCAAAGCAATTTTGAAAGTAATTAAGAAATACCTATAAATAAATACAAAATATTTAAAAATATATACAATTTAATATTTAACTTTGCAGTTAAAAAAAGACAAAATGCCATTAAAGCTATAACATTAGCTGGCACATAAAATGCGTAATGTGTGTATGTGCATATTGTATGTCATGTACTGTTTGATATTATAATCACCCAAACACATAATGCTCTCCATTTGTTATTAGAGATTGATAATTCGTAGCCACATCAGTTCTTCTACAGCATGCCAAGACACATTCAACTGATTTATTTGAGGTTGTCGGGGTCATCTTTCTTTAATCAGATTTCCATTGTGGTTGAATTATTTAGTAAACATGCTACATAATTAACAAGATAATAAACTGAAAAATGGCAGATGAAAACCCTCAAATTTCAAATGCAATATAATTCAATCAAGGTTGTTTCTCTGTCACACTATTCTAATTGGTTTCCTTTTACTGGATATTCCTGCCCTCAGTCCACCTGTCTAGTTGTATATGAGGATGGGCAGGTGAAGTGATTAAAACATTATAGTTATAAGAGAACGTGCTAGACTGTTTTACTAATGTTTGTGCTGGAGAGTGGCGATCTTGTCCTGTAGGTCATGCTAATGTGTTCTTGTCTATTCCCACAGCATGTATTGTGTGGATAGAGCATCCCCAGTATGACACCATTGAAACAGATGATAGTGGCATTGCAAACACTGCTGTAACCTTTGTTTTCCTGTTCCTCATCACCTTGCTCTACAGCATAGGGGCTACTTTTGTGAAGGTATACAATTTTTAGAGTTTTTTTTTTGTTAACGCTTTAGATTACAACCCGCAAAGAACTAAGTATACTGAATTTACGGTGTACGTTTCTGTAATTATAGTGTACCTATAAAGAACATACGTGTAGGTATAAGGGAACAATGTGTTACATTTGGGTAATAAGGAGGTAACAACCAGATATGCAACCTGCAAAGAACTGCGTAAGTAAACTGAAGTTACAGTGTAACTTTTTTGTAATTATACTGTACCTATTCAGTACCTTTGTGTAGGTATAAGGGAATAATATGCGAAGTTTGGGGAATAAAGGGGTAACAACCAGTAAAATTACAAATCATTTATACTGTAAGTATTTTGAAACTAAGAGGTGCTTATTCTAATATTACGTGGTATGTATGGCCTAAACAACAATCTTATGTTTGGGAATGATTTAGAAAGACGATATATACTTTTTATAATTTTATATTGGTATTTTATTATAGGTGTATAGGTATTTTTTAACCATGGGGTACACATTCTATTATAAAAGGACAGACATGATGGAGATTACTGAACAACAAAACTGGACATCTAGTGAAATGAGTTAATGAGTTT